AATGACTCGACTGTTGTTGTTGCTTTTCGTGGGAACAAATTCATTCACGAACGTTGTAACTGACTTATCTTTTTTGCGAAAGAAGATTATATCCACTTCACAGGAATATGCTCATGGAGGCTTTGTCAATGCTCTTAATTCAGTTTATCGATCCATTGAAACTAGCATTGCAGATGATTTAGGAAACAAACGACTTGTCATAACTGGCCACAGTCTTGGAGGGGCACTGGCTTCACTGCTAACATTTAATTTGTCTGTCGAATATCGGGATTCTGAGCCTGTGCTCTATGTTTATGGATGCCCACCTGTCGGTGATGAAAACTTGTCAGCATTCTTTGAAGGGAAGCCTTCATATGTCATTACTATTCAAGGAGACCCAGTTTCTACTGGAACACTTGTGACCATAGGCCCGTGGGCTGGTCTATACAAACCAATGGAGGAATTCTACTTGCCAAAAGCTGCAGGTCATAGTCTGAGTGACTACATTGAGCAGTTGGAGAAGTTGAACGAGAAGAAGTTGGCTCTGATTTTTGAGTAAACTGAAAACATTTCACTATTTAGTTATAATAGCTTTACAGATGTCTAGCTAGTAGACCTATGTATTGCTTTTTTGCCATTTTGCATATGTCTAGATAGTAGACATGTCCATTTCATTAATATCTTTTAAAAACTGAAAGTTTTTATACAACTAAAAGTGGGATTATTCCCACATATGGTGCTGTCATCAGAAAATTAGCTCTTAAGAAGAGTATTTAAATACACATTGATCATGGTAGTAAGACCTAATGGTCTAGTCACAAATAAAATTATTAATCTCACAATTAATCAGTCAGACACAACAAAATTACTATAATTACCATACAAAGTATAATTATTAAAGTAATTAAAATATTATGGTCAAAAACAACAGGAGTCAGTACTAATCAAGCACGAGGGAATGGTATCAAGCTGAGCTAGACACGGCTAGCTTGTTCAAATGTTCCATAAAAACTTGTAAACTAACATCATTAGTTAAAACAGGTGCAGCACCACTTCCATCCTAAATGCAACATGTAACATGCTCAAGCACAGAGTAAACAACATACCTGACCCCAGCCATACATGTTGTTATGAGTCTGTGACAGGTTCACTTTAGAGAGGAGAAACCTAGCCTGACTACCCATATGCTCAGTTACCACATACTGTGGCATAG